TATCATCATCATCATCATCATCATCATCATCATCATTATTATTATTATTATTATTATTTTAAACTTTGTTCAATGCTCAGTGTTTAAAGCTGGCAAACGAAATGTTAAAACTTGGATTAATAGCAGCTTTACGTGCAATCTAAGTAATGTATTTGTAACAATGATTCATAAATCTCTTTCAGACCAATTTCTAACCATTGATTTAACCTTGATTTTAAGCCAACAATTCTCGACTTCATAAGCGTCTTAATATTAATCTTGACTTTCGATTCGAGCTTTCATTATAAACAGTTCAATTTATAGTTCGTCATCGATAATTCTTTCAATGGGCTGAATAAGCGTCAGGAAATATGCAAATAATCGATAGCGCTTGCCAACCGACAGATAAGTAGGTATCTGTCGATTCGTCAAATGTGGTAAGGAGAAGGGAGTGAGAGCATCAGTGGCTGTTAGCCTCTCGTCATACGTGTATGAGCTGGAATTCACGAGGCAACAAGTGCCGAGGCATGAATACGCCTGTGACAGTGATTTCGAGTGAGAAGGAGACGGCTGCGCGAGATCCGATTAATTATCCCGGAGATTGAATTCAATGCGATGTGTGCGATCGAAACGTGAGATTGATGTTGAGCTTCGTGTTTGCTTGGCAGAATGACAGCGCGAAATTCATCCATTGCTTGCGAAGGTTTCGGAAGGGGCATAAATTTACTCGATTCTCAAGTGGTTTTTAACTCCTCGATGTATCGTGACTGTGAGTTCAGCTTCACATTCAAACGAGTATTATGTGTGACATAAGAATTCATATGAATACTCTCGATGTAACCGATACAATTAATAAATGATGACAAATATTGTGCAAAAAATAAGAACAAACAAAGCTTGATTGATTTTAATTTTACTTTTCTTTATAATGCTTGATTTATGCAAGCTATCGCTATTATTAATATATAAGAGGGTAAAGATTAGAAAAGATATTTATGAATTTCTATATCACATTAGATTGCTAATATTAATAATTACGTCAAGTTAAAGAAAAAAAAAATATATATATATATATATACGTATGTATTTTAGTTTAAAGCAATCAATGTTTTTTATAATTTTAACAAATAATGACGAATCTTGATCTATAATCATGAATAAATGAACAAATATTTTTTTTTTTATATAAAAGCCATAGCTGAGAGAATATATTTTTCAGTAAGACAGCATTACACCAACTTTCATTAAATTTTTATTTTCTCGAGAACTAATGGGAACTCAATTATTTCGAATCCTCTATTTAATACTTTTAGATAGCATAAACTTAAATTTAACGTTGAAACAAAATTTATGATAAATATGAATGTTAAGCTTTTAATTTTATATAAAATTTATTAATAAGTTAATGGAAAAAAAAAATGCAGAAAAATTATGAATTTATTATATACAAACGGATTTAATTAAAATTTTTTACAACATTTAGATTAGTAAAATTGAAAATTGAACTAAGCCTCGATCGTGAATATAAATGAAATATTTTATGAAAGCATGAATATAAATATTGCAATTTAAATATAATAAAACTAATTAATATCAGAGTGATTAATTAAAAAACAAAAACAAAAAAAAAAAAATTAATTTTAAGCAAAATATACATTCACCTACAGAATAAATTAACCCATCGATTATTGCATTATAAAATTATAGTGTAAATTATATAAAGAAATTGGTTTTCAAGCTTGTCCTATGATTTTTAATTGAATTTCAACTCAGTGTAATTACATTAAAAATGTCATCAATATCGAATACCATCACGAAGATCAAATATTTTTATACGAAAAGGAATTTATATTTTATTTTATTCAGATCTATGCAAATGTAACGAATATGTATTCATGCAAAGTTTTTTCGCCATCTATTCTTATCCACTTATCTAATAATAATTGAACATTTTGAGAAAAGGCAACTATCTGATTTAATTCATTATATCTATTATTCTTTTTCTTCTTCTAACAATTAAAACAGTACATTAATTGTTTATATTTTTATTTACAGTTATACATAATTCACGGAGAAATTTTGACAATTATGTCACACGTATATTTAAGGCGCTCGAACTCATCGATCAATTTCAACATATTTATCAAATGAAATCAATCATCAATCATCAATCGATCAAATATACATGAAATGAAATCAAGTATAAAATTATAAAGACAAAGTGTTTAATATCAAAGTGGATATTCCGGTAAAATAATGAGGCACTAAGGAGCTGAAATAAAAGAGGGAAGCATAATAAAGAAAAAGCAGTTGAAAAGATGGCAAAGCACAGCTTTTGCGAATCTTGGTCGAAATATATGAAGGACATTGGTGGAACTTCGTCATTCGTGTGAGCTCATAAAAAATCCATAAAATAGGGAAAGGACGCCAGGCGCCGTTGTGACGCTGATACGTCGGAGCGTATTTAACGGAAGCTGTGCCGTGAGTCGCGAGCGAGCGACAATTAGCGATAGCCTTATGATGAGCGCAAATTAAAGAACTCGTACAGAGTCCGGGCGATAATTGAAATTGACGACGGCCATGCTGGATTAATCGCCCCAAAGCCATATATTCGAATGGCCGGTTACAGCTTCGATTGCTATAGATTTTTAGGGGCATAAAATCGTGGATAATGAGGCGTAAAATTGGCTTCTTTCCCTTCTTTCATTATCACAGATGAAAAGAGAATGGCGCATGGAATTTAGGGCTTCTTATTATATTTTATTATGACAATTTGTATACAAACGGAAGTGCCTTTCAAAGACGAATGGCTAATGCAATAAAATTCCTATAATGGATAATGATTTCAATTAATCATGCGGTTGTAATTTGTTTCAAGACTCTGAAATATTGATATTTGCTTCGTTTCATATCGCTGTCTCTTGTTTTTCGCAAAAAGTCTGGTTATTTTTCTAATTAATTGCATTTCCACAATTTATTTCAAATGAATTAATACCGACGGATATTTAGCAAGGAAAAAATATGAATACATTTTGTTTTACTAATTTGATACTTAATCTAACAATTTACAATTGCACGTACACATTCTAATTGTAATTAATAATAATAATATTTGTCAATATTCCTATGTAATTTATTATGACGCGTACATTGCCGGTTTTCATTTCATTTTATCACACAAAGGAAGCGAACAATTGTATTGAATGTAGATTAACGCGTGCACACTTGTACGGTGAACTAATAAAAGCGAATCTAATTGATTGGACTAATAATTATTGAAATTTATTGTACGTTTAATTGATAACGATGCAAATTTCAAAGTTATTCTTTGTTTATTTCCTAAAAGCACAAAAACAAAACAAAACAGAACAAAACAAAACAAAAAACAAAAACAAAAAAAAACAAAATAAAAAACAAAATAAAAAACAAAAAAAAAAAACGAAAAAAAGAAAACTTTCGCGTATAAGATTGAAAATATAAAGGATAGTATGATTTCATTATAATTTTATGAGGCTAATGAAAATTATTGCTGAGGCTATTAATAATTTAATCGGTGATAAAATTTGAATTTAAAATTACAAAATCTGATTACTCGGGAGTTTAAAAAGTAAACGTTGTTTAACAATTGAAAAATAAAATCCTTTCAGGACAGTTAATATAGAGAGGAGCTACTCACGCCGCTATCATGCGACGTTATCAAGAAAATTAAGTACTTACTTGTGTAGGCAGGACTATGAGGGCAACGCATATCATGATAACCATATAGAGTTGTGATGGCCATATGTCGGGCACAAAGTCTCCATAGCCGACGGTCGAGAAAGTCACAACGACGTAGTATGTGCTTTGGAAGAGGTTGAGGTGTCGATGCCCGGCGCGTTGAAAGTGCTGGATTCCGCAGACGCTTGAACATAAGATGTTAACGGGGATTTACATTTTATAACTGACTAGAAAATTTGCATGGGAGATGATTTGACGGGCGCTTTATTTAGGGGATGTGCACTTTATTGATTTTGGTCATTCCCATCCTTAGCTACAGGATGGTGTGGGCGGGGTGTGAGGTGGGTAGGGGCTGGTAGGTGGTTGCGATCGATTGTCTTCAAGTCGGTGTTTGTGATGTTGATGTACGTGCGATTGCCTTTCAATTCGTTATGCGGAAGTCTCATCGTAAAGCAAGAACGTTATTAATTTTTAATAGTTCAAAACATTATGTATTTGTCATTGAAAGGGAGAGGTAATCGACTATTTCTTTTTCTCATTGAATTATCAATTGCTATTTCGCTTTATCTGCAATTTGAGATGATTTTACCTACGCATTGATTACGATTATTTAAATATAAATTTCAAGCAAATCATTAAAACACAAGGAACTTAATTGATCGTGTTCGATAAATACAGATAATTTTCTGTATTTATTTCGTTGTCACATGCCAAATAGATAAAACGAAGTACGATATTTGTTTTAACGAAGTTAGCTAAACGAAGTATAAAGTTAAATCGTTATTTGATTAAACTTTTTAGTAGTACCAATAGTTTGTAGATATCTATGAACATGACTACAACAAAAAGACAAAACAAAAAACAAAACAAAAAAGTGAAAAAACAAAAAACAAACAAACAAACAAGAAAACAAAAACGATTAATTATATAAGCTGTCAGTTCTTCGAACTAATGCATAACAGTGCGTTAAAAATATTTATCTTAAAAAAATGTATTAAATTTAAAAAAGAATTTTCCAATTTTTTAATACTAATTTCAACAGACCATTCAATTTATGTTCACCATAAATCATCTTCAATTAAACGAAGACATTATTTATCTTAATGTATATTAATATATCATAAAAGTATTATTATTATAAATGTTAATTTGTACGATCTCCAAGCGAACCACATCAACACAACTAGCGCTTAAATAGATATACGTCCTCTTACATAATAATGAAAATATGTAAAATTATTTCAGACTTTAAGAATCGGAGCCAGTGCTCCTTTGACATTAAAATACTTCATCAAAAGTTCGGTAAAATCATACGCTTTTAACACTACAAATTTCCTTATATCTCATTCAAGGACAATGCCGAAAAAGCATTGTTGAACGCCTCGAGCGCTCGCTTCGCGGCTCCAGATTTTAGAATCACGCTAATAAAATCAGAGAGCTAAGGAGGAGGGAGAAGGAGTTCGACGGTCAAAAAGTTTCGCACAACACGGCTTTCGTCAGAGGGATTTTTCGCACAGCGTTACGTCGCCGCGTTTATAAAAGTTGCATACATTATGCATGCGACCCCGTTAGTCGCTTTGGACGTGTATTTGTACACCTCTCATCCTTTACAACCGCTTGCTCCTCTACGGCGCTCTTTCTCTTTATTTTTCATCCTATAATTCCACAGGCTGAGATATTTTATTAAACTTTTCGTTAGAATGGCTTATGATAGATTATTATCCTCCTAGTGTTGTTATTCTTCTCTCACGGTAATTATTACATTACATATAACTCATATAGAAATTCTCACAATCATATATTTATATGTTAGCTTAACATTGTTGTATTGTTTTTATTCAGAACTTATTCACTTTATTGATATTACTTTTTTTTTTTTTTTTTTTTTTTTTTTTAAAAAAAATTTTTTTTTTTTTTTTTTTTTTTTTTTTTTTTATACGAAAAATGTATATTGTGTTTCGACTATCGAGATCATTCTATAAATCGCTGTAATTAAATAGGATAAATTAATTTTGCAAACGTTTGAAAAGTCCAATAAACTTACAACTTTTACAGCGCAAGGACAGCAATATCCGCAGTACTTTTTAATGCAGAAACATTTAGTAATTGTATATTTATCACCATACATTCATGCATATTATTCTGCGGCGCGTGTAAGAGAGAACAAAATAATGTGATAATTTAATAATATTTGAATGGACTTAAGCATATTAATATTGACTGTATGGGTAAATTTTTTCGGTAAATGTTGAAAAACGTTACGAGCAAATTCTACAAATCTTATCATATAATATAAAAGGTATTACAAATTTTATTTATGTTATCGAAGGTGTAAAAAATATACATAGAAGAATATTATACGATATATATATATATATATATATATATATATATAGATATATAGATATATGCACTAAGAGTTGCGCATATTTATTTGAATAAATTACGTTAAATATTTAGTAAATGATCGAATTATGAATATTATTATTATGAATATTTTAGAATTTACAAGAAATTTAAATAAAACATTACTTAATCTCGGAATTTTACATTAACTGCAAGGATTTTGTTTAAGATAAAAATTACGCGAATAACATCGTTGCACTTACGTTTACTGACATTTAGACAAAATTACCAAGGCTTTCCTACATTTTTTAGCTAGAATTTTTTATTTCAGAGTCACTGTCATAAAATTATTCAATATTTACTTTTTTAATTCATATTTTTTTATCCACGTTATCTTAATTTATAAATTTTCGTCAATTCAAAAGTTTAAAAGTCTGCATAATTTTCTCGACTAAGAGATAGAGAGAGAGAGAGAGAGAGAGAGAGAGAGCTAATAATGAATTCGTAATTTAACATAAACGATGATTATAGAATGAAAGAAAAAAATAAATAAAATACATTTACCATACCAGTGTGTCTCATTTGCAATAATGTATCGTTCAAAAAATATTTCACTCTGATTAAAAAGATTTCCCACTTATTCGGAAGTCCAATTTATTCGTACGAACTGAAACGATGCGTAATCGGCTTAAGCCAATAAGAAAACGCCGAGAAAAGGAAACACGACTTTTCGAATTCTTGCTTTGTACCAAAGCAAAAATCCTCTCCGAGCTAAAAAGAAGTAAGAGGAAAAGAACCCTTGCATCCAATAAATATTCATTGGTCTCGATTCTCTTTACTTTTAGATCCTATTTTGCCTTTGCGTCGTCGTCGTCGTCGTCGTCGTCGTCGTCGTCGTCGTCGTCGTCGTCGTCGTCGTCGTCGTCGTCGTCGTCGTCGTCGTCGTCGTCGTCGTCGTCGTCGTCGTCGTCGTCGTCGTCGTCGTCGTCGTCGTCGTCGTCGTCGTCGTCGTCGTCGTCGTCGTCGTCGTCGTCGTCGTCGTCGTAGTCGCAGTCGTCGTCGCAGTCGTCGTAGTCGCAGTCGTCGTAGTCGCAGTCGTCGTCGTCGTCATCATCGTCGCCGATGTCGCTCTCTCCTTCCCCATCCCCGTCCCCAACTCGTATATTTACTTATTTTCAGGGCAAGCCAGCGTTCCATAACGAAGCGTGCATTAATTAAAGCCGAGTACTAAACGGCCGAATTTGCATAGTATGTACAGATGGCCAGGTCGCATCGGTTAACGTGGAATTCGCGTATGACGGTGAGAAGGAAGGACGTCGGTCAGCGAGTTTATAGAAGTGTAAATTTTGAAATACCTCAGAGAATAATGATGGCGATTCATGCGCTGGGAAATATATTTTGTATATTTTTTTAATACCCAGTGTGCTATTATTGTAAGAACGAAACTTTTATCATATGAATGTTATATCCCAAGAGTTTTGTGTCAAAAAATATATCTTTCACTGATAGTTCCTGCTTTTTAAAATAACAATATGATTACTTATATTATTTCGTTTTGTTTTAAACAACCATTATGGATATACCGAATGATTACAGCGATTAAAAAATTCCCTAGTTCATCTGCTATATAATTCTAAAGAACAATAATAGTAATTGTTTTTGTAAGAAGTAATTAATTATGGCATTAATGAGAGTTTACGGAAACGAATGTTTTTAATTCATATTATACAAGTTTAGTAATATCACGCTATTTTTTAAAACGGGCTTCCTTGAATGAACAAAACATTTTCAAAATAAGGTTCATTTATATAATATCCTAATAAGTATCTAGTAAGTATCCAAGCGAGTATTTTAATGAATAATTTGCAATTACAGGACAAAGTCCTATAAAATAGACGGCTCGAAAGAACTAACACAGGGCTTCACCGAGGCAGGACTGAAATTGAGGAATTTCTATTTACATGATACGGTCATTCTCATAATTATGGTGCATTCGCGAATTCCGAGCTACTTCACATACACAATTTGTCAATATGCTTGTTGATTTTATCATCCGATATGATCTGACATTCTGATTGTTTGATACATTTTGATGCCAAAAATCTGTTATATGTAATTGTTATGGATTATTGTATATTAATTATCTGTGCTCTGTATTAGTAAGATAATAGAAATGAAAAAGTTTTTCATTATTGCATTTATCAATAGAGAAAAAATTTCATGTATTCGATAGATTTTAAATATGATCAATAGTTGTTTAAAATTCACTTTTAATTATTATATTCTTTAAGTGTATTATGTTAATGATGAAGTTTGTAGGATTTTCACGGCATCATTTTTAAAGTATGAATTTTCTAAATTATTAATTTAATATGTAATTAATTTTATTATATTGCTTATTCTAGATAAAATATTATTCGTAATTATATTCTAATAAATTTATTTTATATTTCTTTAATGAATAAAATTAATATTCGTATGTTTGTAAAAGTTTATCAAAATGCTAAGTACAAATAGATAGTTAAGCTTCTATATAATTATTGACTATAGAATAAAATTTGTTATTATTTAAATTTAAGATAAATTTTAAATGAAAGTACTTTTATCATTTCAAAAACAATATCTTTTATATAATTGAAAAGTTATAGAATTTTAATAACAAAAAATTGACAATAATTATTACAATAAAACGGTAAGTTCTTAATAGTTTTATTCGAGTAAAAAGCTATTACAATGCATTCTCGTTTATTTGCATTGAATAATAAGATTTAAAAATCAGAATTTGAAATAAAAATATTTTACTCTTTGCTGCTTGCACAATAATTATTATGTAAGCCG